ACTTTTCCTGATCGGCGATCACGTCATTTGTTCCAACCTGAATTCAGTCATGGAAATGCTCTAGGTTTCAAAAGGATTACAGGCTCTTTATGGACTTTCTTTTCATTTAAAACAAGGAGTAGTGGGTAAAGGAGAACAAAAAGCCTTTCCCTCCACTCCCCACCTAAGAGTTTTGCGAAGAACAATTAAGAGCAGAGGCGAAGAATTACAGCTTTGTTTTGCTTCTTCGTTTCGTAAATGAGTTAATAAGACGTACTGATTTATTGATTTATTTATTTGTCTGTTTGTTTGTTTATTTATATATAAGAATTTACAAGGGTTTGCCATCACTCTGAATATTAACTAATAGCACACGAAATCAATCACAAGAGGTTACAGCAGATTTAAAGACTCCGCAGAAGGTTGATTAACAAAGCGTTCCATTCCTTCATTTACTTCCCTGGCCTTCTTTCAATGGCCTCATAAAACGGCCTCCGAAAAACCTGATTACATTGGCACTCCTTTCTTTGTTTTGATTTCTTTGCGCTAATCAATTTGCAATGATCGTTTGGTAACTACTTACGTCTCCATGGTAAACAAATCACGAGAAACATCCCATAATGCACGCGTCAGTCATTAATGAGATCACACAGAGCATAAGTGACGAGAAATCTCTACCATCTCTTTGCAAAATGTGATCGTTTTTTCATCGTAAACGAAATTAGAAGTTCTAAGTGAAGCGAAACAACACTGTGGGAGCATGGCTGCTCACGAGAGAGGGATAAATATGATGGGAAAACCCGTTTATCTTCATCTCAACGGGGACAATTTTAAGAGAAAGCGAATTGTGGTCAACCAGAGAGAAATGCGGAGTTTTGATTCTTTTCTGAATGCTGCTGCAACAAGTTTTCGTATACCAGCTCGAGAAATAAGGACACCAGCTGGTAGACATCGCATCAGAAATCTTGACGATCTTCAAAGAGACTGTACTTATGTCGTTGTGGGAAGAGAGCCGTTTAAGAAAGTCGGGTACGTGAGCTCCCGGTCTGTTTGCCGACGCGCCATCAATCTTTTTGTTCGCGGACTTCGCACTGGAGTGTCCTGTTTGATCGAAATGTAAACTTTGCTTCGCTTATGAGCGTTTGTTTGGTTATTATTTCTTTTAGATATGATGTGAAAGACTTGAGGCCACAACGTTTGGCTCCCCCGAAAGAGCCTGAGGTAAGATAAACAGTATTTTAGAAGCTTACAAGGTGGTAATCGATTTAAAATCTATGAAATCGCGATTGCTTTTGTCAGCTTTTGTCAACTCTGTCGTGTAAATGATGGTTCATAAATAATTGAATTTTTCCCCGCGATTTTCGCGGAATTATTTACAACGATCAAAGGTAAACTTAATCTGAGAAATATTTTCTATATATTTTAAGTAACTGTATCGTTTATAAAATAAGTGTGTTATTTTAACGAACTTAACTCTCTAAATTAATTCCTGTGATTATTTAGTGAGTTTTGCATAACAAGTTCGTATCTAAGCAAAATCCCTGTAAATAATTAAACATTTCTGAAGCTTAAATCAATATTTAAGTTTAAACTCTTACTAATATTTGATAAAGATGGAGGTAATTACATTTCTATAAATTCGTTTTGGGTATTATTTCTAAATTTTAATTTCTTCTCCATCGCGAACTTTCCTGTATTTTTGAAAATTTGTGTGATGTACACATTCCTTTGTTGAAAGGTGCGTTATAAAAACGTGTTTTGATTTATTTATTTCTTAGGTAAATTTTCTTGCTCTAAATCATCGCAAATTCAGAAATGTACCTGGCAAAGCCCGTATTAGCGGTCTGCGAAAAAAGGAAGAGATTAAAACAATTATGTGAGTAGCTTAATAGTTAAATATTTCATACAGTTGGGTCCCTGCTGTCAGCAGGGACATTGGGACTTAAGAAAGTACCCAACTGTAGTGTTTGTTTGCATTTGGATCCATTAAACTTAGTGTTTTCCTAGCTGTATGTGGTGTCCATTACTTAGGAGAAATTTGACAGTATAATTTTCATTTTAAAAACAGATATGGGCCATTGACCAAGCATAGATATTGGCCGGATATTGGATTTTTTGGCATGTTTATGGACCAAGATGGAGTTGAAATCCATAAACTTTTAAAATATGATTGAGGCCAATATACAGCCATCTTGACCGAACAAGCTTCCAAGATCAATAAATAAGTTATTTTGTGGCTTTCGAGGAAATTTCTTTTACGGGATACTGAGGGTAGTCCCGATAACGCCATCTTGCCCACTCAGGTAGCCATTCACAGTGCAGGATTTGATTCATCTAGCCTGCTCACAGAGCTCTAGAGCCATATAATAAGTACCTGTAATGGCTTCAATATGAAATGACGAGAAATATTTTTGCTTGAATTTTCTTTTAAGTATACTGTTTGACTAGGTGAGCTTGAACAAAATTTCACTGGGAAAATTAAACTGGAGAAGCGATCAAAACAACCTTGATATTATCATTTGACAAATATTACTGGACTGTGTTGTTGCAGTGTTTTTTGCAATGGAATTGTTTCAAAACCAAGAAGAGTGCAGTTACGAACAGACTTCAAGATGTACCAGGTAAACAAATTTCACTTATTGTTTTTAAAATTTAAGAAAAGAAGGAAATTCTGTGCATATTTGCAGGGCTGTCAATAAGTTTTGAAGCAGGCATCCCAAATTTGAAAGTAGGCGGTAGGTTACTTTTCGAGGTTTAAAATAATCATTGCACGGTAGTTAATGTTATAATAACAACTTCTTTTGATTTAGGTTTTAGAGTCTGTAAATGATAAAGTCAGTTCCCATAGCAAGAATGGTGCAGTTTACGAGTAAGTTCTGATTGTTGCCCTTAGCTTAGTGATTTTATAACTTTTAAGTAGATTTCTTGAGCCTTGTGCAAGATACTGTTCACCGAGTGGTATTGCCATTTAAAGATCAAATGTTGGCTGATGCAGTGAAAAAACAACTATCAGTTCTGACCTGAGCAAGAAAATCGATCACACTCTTCAACCAGTATTCAAGAGTCGCAAAATCTGTGAAGATCTCAAGATGCGTGAACCAAAACCACCTCTA